TAGCCTTAGTGGATGCTACTTGTCTTGGGGGAGAGTCACTCTCTAGAACTTCTGGGAGCATATCGGGTGCATGGGTGGATTCTTCTTCCATCAAGATTCCCACCCTGTCTATTAGCTTGTCAATTTTAGCCTCTTGATTTTGCATGCATTTGGTCAATCTAGTGATTGCTTCCGTCAATTTTGCCAACTGCTCCTCCATAGATGAAGTATTTGTCACCATGGCTTGCATGATTGTCGTGGACGACGGAGAGTAGCATGGATTTTCACACAGATTGATCTTTGATTGGCTCACGCTATGTGGTGTAAGTGGGGAGGATCCATCACTTGAAGCATTATCATCTTCCTTCGCAGCGGAGTGCTTGGATCCGGAGAGGTCAAGCAAAGTAAGAATTTTCTTGATCTCTTTAGCAATATCGCTTCCTCTTTCAGATGCGTTTGTGGAAGATCTTGCTCTTTTTGAGGATGAAGATCCGAAAATAGGGGTTGATGCGGATGACACTTGGGGTGCTTGTTGTTCTAAAGAGCTTGCTTTGCTCCTCGTAACTGGTCCGAAGCTTCCAAAGGTAATATCGAGGATGCTTTCCACATCAGCATAGAACCTGGAGTTAGCAGCCTTGGTGGAAGTTGAATCGGAGTTGATTTTCTTTGAAGCCATTTCAATGTTCTTGGACTTTGGTGATTGAAAAGTTGAGATGAGAGGTAGAAATTGTCCCATTGGAAGTGCCAGAATTTGTAGACAATAAATTTGCGTCGAGAAAATAAAATTAAGACCGAAAATATCGCAACAATCATAGTATTTTATTTTGAATATTTGAGTATTAAAATCTCTATGAATCCTCTGATTCTACTTTTCGATAGTAAATAAATTCAAGGGCCTTTGAGCTTGATCTTGAATATGTAGTTGTTGCCACGAACGATGATCTTGTTCTTGAGCTTGAGCTTGATTGCTTGGACTTGAACTTAATTTGGTCTTTGTTCTTGAGCTTGAACTTGATTTTTTGAACTTGAACTTGATTGCTTGAAGCTTAAATTTGTAGAGAAATTTGCGGCGTTTGATCCACGAGCTCTCTCTTGCTTCTTGTTATAACTTTTGGTGTCCTTTCTGAGTTATGAAGACCCCTTTTTATAGTTGTGGAAGGGAGGAGTTGTGATAAGAAAAATTCTTTCCGACCAATCAAATCGAAGTGTGACATGGCTGAATTTGATTTGCCAGAACATGTCACTTGCACACGTGACGCAGTTTCATTCGCCAGTTAATTTGACTTGGCATGCTTTGTCATTTTGACATGTGGCATGATCCTATTGTCTCTTCTGTTTGACTTGGCGTGCCACGTCATTTGACACGTGGCACCAAACTGGGCCTTTAGGAAGATGACATATTGGGCTTGATGAAGTAGGCTCATCATTTGTGGCCCAATTAAATGGGTCAGCCCAATGCACTTGGATTTTATATATTGGACTTATATAATTAATCTAATTAAATTAGCCCATAATATTTATTTGGACAAATATATTTGATATATAGTCCAAATTATTTTATCGGATTTAATTTCTATAAAATTCATATGCCTAAATAAATGTTGGTTGGAGTTTTTTTTTGTAATTGCTGAACTTAATCATTCTAGTAGCTGAAGTTTTGTTCTATATTTGCTAAACTTCAACATATTTTAGCTGAAGTTTTGTTCTATATTTGCTGAACATCAGCATGTTTTAGCTAAAACTTTGTTATGTTTGTGATGAACTTCAGGGCTGAAGTTTGTTTTGTATTTGCTGAACTTCAGTATTCTAGGAGCTGAAGTTTTTGTTTATATTTGCTGAACTTCAGCATTCTTAGAGCTGAAGTTTTAAAACAACAATGACAAGTTGCCATTAAGATCTAGTTGCTATAATGGAATTATCAGGAAATTTGAAAAGCAATACTCCTATAAAACAAGACCATTATTAAAAGTAATATCTTCACCTAATGCACAGGGAATCAAGTCGTGCTTTCATGTTTCAGTAGCAATTAAAATTAGCATTTCCGAACTGGACGGTCCAGAAGCTAATTTCTAGCCGTAAAGAGCTAAAATAGCAAATATAAGTTAGGCTAGAACACATAACAATATCTCAATATTCAGCATTCAGAAAACGAAGGAGGAGGAGAAAGAGTCCTGGAGTTGTTTAAACAGTGGGTACAAATTAAAACTTTTTTAAAAAGCGGGTATAAGTTAAATGGGGGCGACCAAATAAGGTGCCCGTGCAATTTTTATAATTTTAAATATACTTTACAGGATAAGTTGGCCTTAACTTAAAACGAAGGCAAAAATGGAAATAAGTAACAATGCATATATGCAAATATAGGGTATTATCATTTTTAGCCCGCGACAAAAATTATTTATATTTGGTAGTAAAAAATATATATAAAAATTGTATAATTTTTTTATATAACATACCAAATGTATATACAAAAAATATATAAATTTTATATATTTTACGGCTATTATTTTTACAACGGATATACAGTGTCATTTCTCCAATAAAATAAACAAGAAATTTAATAACTTTTAGGAGAAAAGTGTTTGAAAGTGATTGATAAGCTCTTTCTAATCTTGAATTAACAGACCAAATCCCAAACGTGTCGAATTATGGAGTAATATTTGTGCCCATCTAGTCATTGGCTCATGGCGGGCCCATCATTTGCTTATGAAATATTCTAGAAAAATGGCAGAAATTGGACACAATAAAGGCGCCCTTGAACTTTTAACCTTTGGGGCAAGTCACTTGATCAATGAGCAAACTTTTCAGGTCAAAAGTCAAAAATTCTCGTTTAAACTTGACATTTTGCTCATTAGTCAGTTGACATACCACAAAGGTCAAAAGTTCAAGATCAACTCATTTCAAGATTATTTTTGTTAATAACCTGAAATATTCATCTTCGTGACTTAATCAGTGAGTGGAAATAGGGGTACACGTACGCAAAAAATTTCATAAGCAGTGTCACTATTTCTAGTAAGAGGCTCGTAACAGTCAAAAAATATTTTGTGGAGCCAAGGGAATTCAATCCTAAGACCTCTCACATCATACTTGAAACTGTCAACCACTAGACTACTAAGTTGTTTTGTTGCAAGTAATGTCACTTTTAATGCTTTTATCTTATGTTTATGTTTTACTTGTTATTTTTATATATATAAATAGTAAAAAAAATTGACGAAGCGGTGTCCCGTGACACCGCTTCGCTCCATGCCGCATTGTTACCTTTAATCCAACCTTTATTCTTTCTCGATTTCTTTTAAAATTATTCAATGTTCGGAATTTAATTTGTATTATAAAAAAACACATTAGGGAGGAGTTCTACCTCTTATTAAAGGTGAAGAATTTTTTCTCATTCCCCTGTATCTCTTGATGGTACTCCACCACTTTTGTAAGTTAGTCGGTTGATTCACCAAAATGATAGCCTAGATTGAAACATAGGTCATAGTTAATCGATAAAACTTATGTAATAGATACCTGTCGCACTCTTGTTAGTTTAGTATACATCGCGTGCGAATAAGTAATTTTTTTCTGCCATCTACATTTGTTGATGTAAGATTTTTTTTCTTTATTTAAAGTTATAAGACACAAATTATTACTAGGTAATATGAAGCTCTACCGTCAGACTTCAATTTATACACTTTAATATTCAGATATCAATTTGGTCAAATATCACATAGCATAAGGTTTATGTACTGAAAATAAGGTTATTACAAAATTAACTACAAAATGGCAGTGACTCTATTTTTTGTTTTTACAATGCAGCTAATCCCTTTTACAACGTAAATAGTGAATCGAATATATATACAATGCGATTTTCCAGCGGCCCCTTAGCTTCCTCCTCTACCTTCGCCCTTGATAGCAACCTAGTGGAAAAGGTGTCACGTATTGACAAATTGATCTTTCTTTTCTACCTTTTTTTCCCGCAATATGAATGAGGAAAACAAAGGCGAGAAGGCAAAGATATTTTTCTCGTTAGGCTCGTGGAATTGAATGAAACAACATGTGAGATTTGGTCAAGCAATCAATAAATGTGCATTAAAGTATCTGAAATTCTTACAATTTAGATTTCTATCAAATTTGTTTTTAAAGAACCAGGGATTCGCCTGACAACATTTAAAGAGAAATTTTTGAGGATGAGATAATTTACATTCAGTACAAAAGTGAACAGTACGAGTCTCACTATAGACTACAGAGTTGGTAAAAAGCCCCCTCACTGCATCACCAATTAAGAATATTTTATCAATGTCACTAAATACACTGGTATTTGTTTTGATTGTTACTAAAATTTTATTGTATAATATTATTAAACTGTTGTTTTGTAGCAATAAAAATTTAATTTTGCGTAACGATCGATTTGATATAGTCGCATCGCTATCTTTTTTCCCCCTCATTTTGTCCTTAATTAGTAGTATTTAACAATTATATTTTATCTTTTTTTTTTATAATAACTCTAGATATACTTTACTTCCTCTTCTTTTTTGATAATAATCCAAGCTTATTCCTTAAACTACTGGTGTGTTACATTATGAAATGATAAAAAACGATATAATCTATAGTATTAATTGAAATAATACAATACGATATGTTATATTTATAAAACGATACATAGCAATTATCCAAAAAAAGTTGTTATGGACAAAAGTCATTTTCCTTATAAACTTATATTATTTATTTCAACCAAATGATATTATTAGAGTATAATCTCTAATATTATACATTTTCTAAATAAAATTATTCCACACACCAATCAATATATGGAAAACATTTTCAAAGAAAAATGAAAAATATTTTTGGAAGAAGGGGCTGGGACTGATAATGATAATGATTACTCTAAGTTAATGATAATGACAGGTTTATGTGGGCTCGCATGTTTTGTGATGGGTATAATCGAAAAAATATATAAAATTTGTATAATTTTTATATATAACTTACAGAATATATATATAAATATATAAATTTTATATATTTTTGGGCGATTAGTTTTGCAGCGGTACAATGACTCCTAACAATTTTCCGGGCAAAATAAAATATAGAAAGAGAAAAAATTGAAACAGCCCCGCCCAAAAGTTTTTGCATAATTTTGTTTCCGATTATCCGAAGAGTTTTACCGATTTCCGACGAATTAAACGCCGGAACTTGACAGCATGCCGCCGGAAGAATCAGTTTCGAAGTCACTTCTCGACAAGCCGCTTCAGCAACTTACTGAAGATGACATTTCTCAGCTCACTCGCGAAGATTGCCGCCGTTACCTCAAACTTAAAGGTACTCACTCCTCTTCTCCTGCATTCATTACATACATAGAACTTATTAGTGATGAAAAATTCGAAAAAAATTGAAATTTTGCCTCTGCTACTGTAATGTGTTCCGTACAGGGATGAGAAGGCCGTCATGGAATAAATCACAGGCGATTCAGCAAGTGATATCACTAAAGGCTCTCCTTGAGACGGCGACAGATTCCGACGCCGGCACTCGGAAGAAACTTTACATTCCTCGCTCCGAAACTAAGTTACACCATGTGCGTTTCCTCTATCTATCTCGTAGCAATACTTGACCTATATTTTGTTATAGTGCGCTGGTAGTTCGTACTGTATGATGTTTGGATCTTAAGTCAATACCGTAAATGTACCAGTGCATGTTTATGTGTTTATAGTATTAAATAGTTCTAAAAACTAATGTAGGTCCAGAGAGGGAAAAATACTGATGAAGAATTTATTGAATTGGCTGAAGAGACAGTGCCTGATGGAAGAACACTACAGGATAAAGCTGATCTTTCCGGCGATGCATCTCCCACTCTGGTTGCTGCTATTGATAAATCAGCTCCTTCTAGGTGAGTCATCGTCTTCTTGAATGCTTTTTGGAGGCAACAAACCTTCTAGAATTATAGCTTGAAATTTGGTATTGGAGCGAAGGCTGGAATAGAACCCAATGGCTATAGAGAATTCCTATATTCCATCCTAATAAGTTTGGAATTGAGACATAATTGATTGATTGATTGACAATAAGCTCCACATTGTGCTAAACGGATGGTTCCTTTATTGTTATTAAAGAAAAAAGGCGCTTGAGTTTGAAAATTTTTCCTGTTGAATACTGACTTTCATCATGTCTATGAAATAGCGGCTAGCTCGTGTCTGGCAAATCAGTCTCTCTGTCTCAAACCTGGCCTCCTTGTATATCTCTTGCTTGAATTCTCTGTATAATAAGTGGCTTACCGGCAATACTTCCCTTATTTATGTTCTTTAAGAATTGTGGTTAAAGTATTGCGAGTAATGTGATTGAGTGTTAGAAGAGCATATAAATATTCAGTCTTAATGATGAACTTCAATTTTTTAGTGCACTTTGAATGGAATTAGGAGGTAAATGTACCTGCCAATGATATGCATTTGGTTTCTTATACTACCAGTTGTTGACACCATTGTTAATACTTCACTTACTGTGTCCCATGTTCTAACACCACAAGTAATATTCAGAGTGTCATTATGCCAGAAATTTTGCCCCTAAATAACTTTTTAGGGTGACCATATGTACAGTTGAAAGATGTTGAAGTCTATGGACTAAGTTGACTATGATCATAAATCATTAAATAGTAATTGCATATGTGCTTCTAGGCAGCAACTGACTCAACAGAAACCAAAGCTTTCTGATATGGCTTAGAATACAACAAGTAATACAAAATTAGTTATAGGTGTTCTTGAAGTCCCTCATGTCTTTTCTCCTATTAGACATCAATGGTTCCACAAGCTCCTCCGGTGATCTCTTGTTAAGTTAATAGTTTCATCTCCATAGATTGTTATTGTGACGAATTCATCATTTAGCACTTAGATAAGATACTTTGTCTATTTTTAACAAATCACCAGGTCCAAATATATCCACCTCAGCTCTTGTTTTTTGCATATCCCAATATAACCTATAGTTTGTTGGAAGCTACTCTATTTGAAATGGCATCATAAGGTAACTTGTGATTCTGCATATGTATAAATGCACGGGCTTCATTTGACTAGCATTTCCTTCAAAAGAAAATTGCATTGTATCTAACTTAAAAAACTGAGAGCTTTTCTATTGGTGCTTCTAGAACAATAGGTTCAGTAGATACATCAGCAGGACAAATGACAATCTTCTACAGCGGCAAGGTGAATGTCTATGATGATGTGCCTGCTGACAAGGTATTTAAGCTTGCTGAAAATTGGGAACTTCAGAAAATCAGTGTCGTTTCACTTTTTTCCTGATACGACCAACTCGGATATTTTTAGGCACAAACAATCATGTGTGTTGCTTCAAGCTCCCTTTGTGTGCCTTCAGAAACTCCATTGAATGCTACTGTAGCAGCTCGACATTCAACATGCTGCTTACAGCTTGCAACTACTAAACTACGCCCAATTTCTGATATGGTACTTCTGCCGACTATTCAAACAGGTCATTAGTTGCATTATGGTGCATAACTTTTCTATCTTGTTGTACTTTACTTGCTTACAATGGCGAGTTGAGAATGTGAATTAAGTAGTGTTTGTTTCTAAGGATTTTAGTGAGGCAAACTGAAAGGTTACTGCAAAAATAAAGCAACCATAAGAAGTCAATATGAAGAAAATGCAACAACTTTATGATCCTAAATGTCATATATTGGTGGAGAAAATATCACTGTACATTATGACTCCTGTGAGCGATGAGTCTTTTTCCTGGGGTCATCAGGGAAGACGTTCATTGTATCCTGTGCCAAAACATTTTTGTTTGATCTTTTACTAAAAATGAGTGATGTTCTCGAATGCGTGTAGAAGAAAGAAACAGCTTATATGATGACAATCCTGGTAGTCTTCGTTATGTCTTTATTCTTTTCTCATTTCCACACAAATTGCTCATTGGGCACTACGACATTTGCGAATATTAGGGTACTTTGTTCTAGTATAGATTGAAATATAATATGAAATACATTTTAAGATCCACTAAAGAAGTAAGCAATCTTATAGAAAAAGGGGGAAAATACTAGAAGTAAAAAACTTCCTTTCCCTGCTAACCATATCTTTTAAGGAATATAATTAGTTACTCTGGAAACACCATTTGAAGCCCACAAATGTATTCTGAGTGTTGGTGGGTGACTTTGTGTTTTATGTAAGCAAAAGATTTACTTAGGTGAAAAATGTTGGTCGAGTGCTGTTTCCTTTTCTGTGGAAGGAACTATAGTAAAGTACCTTATGCTGAAAACTATATGAACATTATCAATTTCTGCGTAATTTTCTTCTGCATTTATTTTATGTTTCCCCAGAAGCAGTAGAAAACCCCTCAAGCAGGAAAGCATCAGTACAGAGATATCTTGAGAAGCGAAAAGACAGGTATTGCAATAACTGAGCTGCTTGGTATGAAAAAGTGAAACAATATTAGAAAATATTCGCACTTGTTTTCTATTTCCTTCTGTCTCTCACATCTCTGTTAGGTGAAGGTTCAAGTGCAAGAGAAAGGTAGAAATAACTTCAACAGTTAGCTTGGATATCCATTTAAATGATCGAACGGGAGCTCTTAGCCCAATGGAGCACTCAAGTAGGTCTGATCTTTGCTTTCCGCCCCTCATTAGACTATCTTCTGCACCTACACCAAGTGGTCCCATAGAAGAAACTATTCAGATGAATGCTACTTTTTCTAGTGGTCCCAATGACAGAGGTGATGTTGTTTATCCCTTGAACAACCTCACTATTTTTGTGGTCATAGTACTTTCAAATGTTCAACACTAATGTTTTTTCTTTTTGCTTCTTTAATTAGTCTGTGCATGATATAGAGATTTGTTATTGACTGAAAACTTTCCCATCATTTAGGAAGTAAGTGTTATTGCTTCAAAACAATAAAATACTCATAGCTTTCATAAGAACCAGGTCGTTAATCACAAAAGTTGCATTTTAGCCTCTGAATCTGTTCTTTCTAAGCTCCTCAATGATTCTTGTTGGCCAACCGAATTGCAAGATAGCATCCGACTTCTGTGTTACTGACTGTTGAAAGACAGCTATTGCCTTATTGAACCAACTGTCCTCCCTTTAGTGTTGTATTGTAAGTAATTAAATAGTGAATACAGGACCGAATAGCTCATTGAGTGCATTCATCCTTGTTTGCTTGAGATCTCCTATAATATATCTCATTTGTTCTTTGCTAGATGCCATTACAACTAGAAGAATTGAGTATTTACTATACTAGTCATTTTCTTGCTTGCGTCTCCTTAAAACAGTCTCACAAGAACTGTGCCAACTTCCATCTCCACTCAGCCATTTCACCATAAAAGATGAAATATATGAAACATTTAAATCAGCCAAGTGTTTGATACATTTTGTTGCTTTTCAGATGTTAAAGAATGAACATTGGATATGGTCAGGGACGCACAACAGATATCGATTTTGTCTTCATCTGAAATTTTTGGAGGCCACAACATGTTCTAGCCTCTTGATAGTTAAATGAAGTAGGATGCTGGTAGCCCCCTTTTGTTCACCAATATATGTAAAAAATGCCATTTCTATTTAGGCTATTTTCTGTACTCATGTAAATGAAGAGAGAACTAGTGAGAAATAGTTATCCGCCATGCGGTGTTTGTGCTTTCAAAGTATTTTAGGAGCAGTCTGCATTTTTTGCATTAACTTTTAGGCAGTATCAATTCCATATTGCTGGAACCTGTTCTCAGTAGCCTCGCTAACTTGGAATAATATACCCAATTTTATTGTCTGTACTTTTCACTTTCTAATTTGAATTAGCAAATGCAATTATTGTTTCAATGGTTGTTGCTGGGAGATGGAGGCAAACCAGCATAAAACTGTGTGACGTAGAATGTGAATTGGTAGTGCACTCTGATTATCCTTATCGTTTAACATAAGTTTTCCTGCTTGTTGAAATTTTAAGGAAGACAAAAGGGCTAAGTTTTTCTGAACCACATAGCTCGACATACCAGTTATATTCTTGTCAATCTATGATTGTTAGGTTCCTGAAATTTGTTAATTCCTCTTTCTATTGTTTCTTTGTTTTAGGGTCAAACTTGAAATATAGTTAAGTCAGCTACTCGTTAATTGAGACTACACAACAGGATGCTGCACATAAGAACTAACTTTTGTGAGAGAACTGCTTTTATGTCTCTGCATTGCTGGTGCTATATGATACCCGTTTCATCTAAATTTTGAAGTTAAAAGTTTGAAGGAAAATTGCATTTATTAATCATCAATGACTACAATGTGGAGTGAAGTTTGAATACAAAATACAGAGGAGGAGAACAGACAGTCAAATTGTAGCAAATGGTTGAACGCTGACAACGGAAAGACAATAGTCACAGCGTCTCGCGAATCTATCTATATCTATATCTATATCTATATTTATATCTATCTATATTATTATAAAAGCACAAATAATTTACACTAAATGTTGAGCGACGAAAATATCCCGAAAAATTGAACTTTTGTACCCTTACAACATTAGTTCTATCTTTAAAAAGAAAATTCGACGCAGGATAATAGTAATCTTTAGCACTCTATCTAATAATTAGGACTCTAAATCAACTAAAACTTTGTTAACGTCATACGCCAAATTTGTAAAGGACTCTAACTTAAAGATTCATGTCATGTGTCCGACTTAGTCTCATACCACATGGAAAACAAGCACTTCGAGAAACATATTTCCACAAGAGCAAGGAAACTTTGCACAACTTATATATATCACTTTAAACAAACCGTTCCTATGGCTAAATTTATTTTTTCTTAACTATATGAGTTTTCTCCCAAAGATTATTCCATCTATCTATTTCAATGGTTTAGACGTGCAGTTTTCCAAAGTAGCATTCTGAAGCTTTGGAAATTTCATATCGTCACGTCAACTATGTTCGATCTCATAGGACAAAATTAGTTTCTCCTACATAATCACAGAACTAAACAGTTCGTATAAGAGGATATAAAAATTTGATGATTAATATATTGTGCAGTTGTTTCGTATTATGTATCCATTAAATTCCTCTTTGATTATGTTGACCTCTTATGTATACTTACGACAGCTTCTTTATGACTTTTTTTATTGGCTCTTGGGGGGGAAATAGGTTATTTTACCAAATTTCTAAAGGGAAACTGGAGCGTTAAAAAATAAGCTCTAAAAGTAACATGCATAAAAAAATAGTGCAAGACTACTTGAAAGTAATAAAGGGTCCTCTGGTGATTGAAATAAGTCAGGGGGATTTCTGTTTGTTTGAATTCTTATGGAAGAATGAACCGAACGAATTAGAGTGAAAATTTTGATTTGGATGTATGGGAATGGAAAAACATAATCCCTACAATTGTGAATAATCCGACATATGACGGTACATGGTATAAGCAATCCTTTTAGGAAAAAAAAAAATAATTTCTCCAAAATTATTTAACAAAAGAGTGTACGAGAGAGGACAAACCAATCATATCACAATTCCTAAAAATTAGGAGCAAATAGGAAAAAAGATTTAAATAATTATAAATTGCATGTAACTTATTTTAATTGTGATTGGAGGGACAAGCAATGATCATTTACATTTTGAATCCAAATATTAGTTCATTAATAATACTAATTTGTTATATACATTAATTAGTATTCATTTTATTACTCTGATAAAGTTTACTATTAGTAGACATATGCAACTATGGTCTAACTATCTTTTGCACAAATTATATGATACTTAGACTTGAAATATTCGTGCAACGCACGAGTATAGAGTCTAGTTATTATAAAAGCATGAATATAATGTCGGTTTACAAAAATAACTTTATAATATTAAGCATAATAACTCATATAAAAGGACATAACCGGAATTCTAGAAATTAGCCTTATAATCCTATTAGTTTTAGGACATAATACTACACGTTAGGAATCCTACATAATTACCTTTAGGAATCCTAATAATATAATTACCTTTCGGTTTGGAAATTTATAAACACAAGCCTAAAATATGTTTGAAACAAAGTATAAGCATCAGCTACTGCAGAAGTGTACGTCGTGCTTCCCGTGGGATATTCGTATTTCACAATTATGGAAAAGAATTAGCTTTTCTCGGTTTCTAAATGGGATTAACTTTGTATATATGTACTCTTTTAGTTATTATTAAAAAATAAAAATAAAAATAATCCCTTCCAAGAAAACAGCTGAAGTTCGAGCAATCTGCCGTTGGGAGCGTAAGGCCTTTTATCTATGTCTTGCTCTTCTCACTTATTTAACCCATATTTGTCTCCACCTTTTCATTTTTGCTCTTTTATTTTACTTTTTTTTTTGGGTAAATTAATTAGTTTGTATATAAGGTCTATTTTGTTGTATATCTCTATCTATCTATATCTATCTATCTAGATCTATATCTATCTATATCTATATCTATACTATATTAAAAGCACGAAAGCCTTTAGCGAAATGTCGTTCGTCTATTTTACCATTTTAAAATAAAGTTCACACTAGATAAAATAATCATTTAATTATTTCCCTAATATTTAGTATTTTGAAGTCAACTAAAACTTTACTTATTAAAGTTTTCCTTATTTGAACGATTACACAAAAAAAATCTAAGTATATATCAAAATCACTTACATTTACCATATACAATATTATAATATTATAATACTAAAAATATGAATGTTTACGTATTGTATTTTCTAAGAGGATCTGCAATAATTAATAGAAGGAAACAGCCAAACTTATAATAGAATAGCCCGACCATAATTTGAAAACTAACAAAGGCAGCAAAATTTTGANTATTTTTAGGACCTTGCTTTTTTTTCTATAATTTTTTTAATAACTCATGCACATTGGTTAATATGGGTATACAATATTCAAAAGTTATATATTCATGACTATAGAGTACACGGGCAAAGCGCGTACTCTATGACTAGTTATATTAAAAGCACGAAGTCCCTTAGCGAAATATCATTCGCCTTTTTTACCCATTAAAAATAGATTCCACAGTGGATAAATTAGTAATTTAATTATTAGTTTAAAATAAATTAAATTATTAATTATTAATTCTTTCCTTATTTAAACTATGTAGAAAATCTAAATATTTTAGGAATTCAAAATCAACTATGATTTTCTTTACATAAATTCTTTCCTTATTTGAGTTATGTAATATAATTTTTATTCCTTCCATATTATTTGACTTCATAGTATAAAAAGACTTGCTAATTTGTAGTACTTTGCCAACGATATGTGATTGCTCCTTAGTAGGTGAGTTCTTTATACCTTTTCCGATCGTTCTATAGAATATTGTTGTTATCTTTGGAGTTTTTTCTTGTTTTAGTTTGTTTTTGCTTTTGTTTTAAATGCTTTTATATGGGTTTTGGAAGAATTATTTTTCATTAATGCCTTTTTCTTTTCTTATTGACCATCCAATTCAACTTTTTTAGGAGTAAAAGAATATGTTGATTTTGGATTAAAAGATGTTACACATTTAAAGCCTAATGTAGTTCAATATGGATTTCTGTGACTAATCTGCAGGTTTTCTTTCTTAGTTAGAAGATTCTAAAATTTTTGAGGCTACCTTCTTTCCTGTTCTTACTTTACATCCAATTTAATTTTCGTTTAGTAATAAAAAATTATGCCTTTTGAGATTTTGGGTTAAAACTTAAAAGAGAATTTCTCACGTTTGACAAAAAAAAATCCAAACACCATTGTAATTCCTTCTACGCTACAGTCAAATATTTCATACTTAAGATGGCTAATATTAAGAATTTTGATCAATCTATTCATATATATACTATATTAAAAGCACGAAGCCCCTTAGCGATATATTGTTCGCTTTTTTTACCCTTTAAAAATTAATTTCATATTGGATTAAATTGTAATTTAGTTGTTTTCCTATATTTAGGAATTCTAAATCAAGTAAAATTTTAGTTATTAAATTTTTCCTTTTCTGAACTAGGTAAAAAATCCTAATATTTAGAACTTTAAATGAATAATATTATTTTTCCATATTTAGATTTTGCAGAAGTTGTAAAAGTATGTATAACAACAAATATATAACCAAGCACACTATTATGATGGATAGTGGTACAAAGTTTATGTGCAGAACAGTGGCTAACACTTTAAAAATTTATCCCATTTTCAAAATCAACTAAAAATTTGTTATCCTTTGAATCATGTAAGAAATTTTAAACATGAATTTCAAATAAATTAGTATTTTAATTATCTAATATAAATTATTTATTTATTTAGAGAAGATGTAACATAATTGTAATCTATTAATTTTAGACGTAATATAATGGTTAATACTTTAGAGAGTTATCCCTTTTTGAAATTCATTGTAATATTATTTATCAAATCATTCATTAATTAACTATGTAAGAAGTCTTAATATAGGACTTTAAAATCATTTAATATTTTAATTATCTAATATAAATTATTTATTTATTTGGATAATATAACATTACTGTAATTCTTTGCATGTGTGTGTCTATATATATGTATATATATATGAACCATAATACACTTGCATATCAAATTTGTGCTACTTTTTAACCCAAAAAATATTTTTATATAATATTTAAATATAAAATTCAATAATTAAAATAAATAAAAAAATTTAAAAATATAAAAGATATAAAAGAGGTAAGGAAAAAGAGAGTTCATAAAAGTAGTTGACCAGAGTCAACAACACTAATTATTCTACGTATAAAGATTGAAAAGTAAAATATGACCAGATTAGTTTTTTAATCCTTTGGAACATGGAATTCATAGT